TTGTCTTCAGTGATAATCAGTCAGTTCATTTGGCCCGACAGCAACGAAGGGACACACAGATGACAACCTGTTAACTCCAATCGAAACCTCTCACCAAGTCAGGACTTCCATGCGGGTTAAGGGCTGACTTGGCACATACCTGCACGGCTTGATTGATATTCGTATATAACTCACAGTTACTTTTAAGTACTGTGAAGTCCGAAGGATACTCAGTCAAATCGATCAACATTGAATTTCAGTGACGCGTAACACTGGAGCAAGTCAGTGGCAGTTAATCAACAAAATTCAGGTGGGATGGTCATTTGCCAGTGTGTGGCACAACGATACACACACACATCTAGCCCATTTCATTCAAGAACCCCGTATTTCTCTGACGCACAGCACAGCACAATAGTTCATTGTAGTGCGTGTGTGCTGATTACTGGGCTCAATTTACCCTCCTGCGCCACGGAACTCCACGTATGTTCACTACCATGTGATCTAAAAAAGTTGACTTGAATAAATCAGAATTTTATAAACTTATACCCGGTTGATTCAAGCGGGGTTAAGCAGAGAAACAATGTCACGTGTACCTAAATGTAATACAGATTGTTTCGAGTGCATCGCTCACAAAATCCTCCGTTTCTATCTTGTTTACAATCCCCGTAACCAGGCTCCTTCTCACACACAATTTGGAGTAGAAAATGTTTTTGCGTTTTCCGCGATTTGAGCCCTAAGATTCATTTTCATGTGCCGAGTGACATCAACATCCAAGCCCGGGTCGGAGTTAGAATATTCTGAATGAAGAATGTGAGCGTAGCATATAAAGTTGGTTCTCTCAACCAACGCGACATTGGACAACAATGTGGAACAAGCGAGCATGCATGATCAGATTGTGCTGGCAAAAGATCACAGTCGTATACATTATGCTGTTTAGTCCATCACTCGCTCTAACCTCGCTGGGCAAATGTCCCCCTGTTCTACCGGGCGTGCTAAATGTGCACCTTGTCGCGCATACCCATCTGGATGTGGGCTGGATAGAGACCAGAGATTCATATTATCATTATCGTGTACGTCTTATATTGAATTCCGTGATTGATCAACTGATTCGAAACCATTCATATCGATTCACAGTGAGTGAGATCAACTATTTCAGTCAATGGTGGTCGGCACAAACAGTACCACTGCGGAATGCCGTACACAAACTAGTCTGTGAAGATCGATTGCATTTTGGGCTGGGTGGCTGGGTCAGTGCAGATGAGGCAGTCGGGCACTATTCTGACTTGATTGACCAGCTCACACTTGGACGACAGTTCATTCATCGATGGTTCCGGTCATGTGGTCGACCTCGAATGGCCTGGCAAATTGATACATTCGGACATTCACGATCACATGCGGACGTTTTCTACGAGGCTGGTTACGATGGAATTGTTTTCGGACGAGCGGATTTCCGCGAAAAGTCGTGGATGCGACGGGAACAGCGATTAGAATCGTTGTGGGACACCAAATCCAATCCGAAAGAAGACAGTCGACTGTTTACATCTTTTTTACCCATTTCCTATTGTAACCCGACCAAAATGTGTCCGGGTTTCGATTGTTTGGTTAGTGAAAAACAACTCTACGAGGTTTTTCATGCCATGCACAAACAAATACGAGTACAAAGGAACCACGTTAGCAGCCAACAGCTACTGTTACCCATTGGATGCGATTTTTCATTCGAATATGCACAGAACAACTTTAAGGCGATTGATCGATTGATCGATTACCTGAATTCGAAATATCCGATTGATGAGATTCGTGTGTTCTACTCGACACCAGATTGTTATCTGACTGCAATCAATTCAATGTGGAAGCCTGCGATTGCGTTTAGTGTGAAACAGGGTGATTATCTCCCCTACGCGGATGTACCGAAGCGTTACTGGGTCGGTTTCTATACGAGCCGACCAGCTTTAAAAGCTTATTTGAGACTGGCGTCTGTGCTGAAAACGGTGATTGAACACGTGAGTGTGTACTGGTAGATCAAGATATTTTTCGTTACTGAATTTATTTCTAAAGATGACCGATGCAATTTGAAAAGTCTGAAGAGATTTCGCTCCCGAGGAGAGAGCTCTTCAGCATCCGAATGATGCATCTCCCCCCTTCCTGAAAATTGTATCATTGTGTGTTCAATAAAAGGAAGTTAAATATCAAAAAATGTCAACTAAGTTGAAAACATTATGAATTCTAAAAGTGCCAATTGGAAGCTTGTGTTAGCTTTTCTGTTAGCAGTGATCTATCAGCATTGATTTACTGCATATGCATTGGGCGATTATTTGTTTGTCAACGAATCTATCTTTAATGAGTGTATCTTATCTGTAAAGCCGTAGTAGAACTATCGTGAACATTAGATCGAACTATTTGAAGGCTCAAACATCTAAGGAATATGATGCAGGAGCGCTAACGTTCACAAGATGTAAGAGCTGGGGTGACGACAACCAACAGTTCTGCATTGATGGTTTAAGGCAGCTCATTTTCAAGGCTATTTTGATTTCCTCGTGATCACTTATACGTCTGTTTATCGGTAAAAGGCCGCGTGTATAAATATATCTATCTCACGAAGCTTAAGGGTGTACAACATGTGTATCACAAGTCAGTATTTTTTATTGAGATTGTGGAAAGTTCAATATCCTCGGTGAGATTCGACCCCCACGCCTGGACCCCGGCTGTGCTTTTGTACAGCGCGCTTTCTACCATCTGAGCTACGAGGTCTACATCTATAGAACAGATCTTTTCACATTCGAATCACCCATCCAACTTACAGAGGGATATAACATCCACCAGCTTGCATGTAGGCTGAGTGCCACGACAGGTTTTCCCTGGAATTAACCGGAGTCCACCGAATGAACCTCCAAGGTACGGTCAATTGTTCACACTGTTGTTTGGCAGATTTTTTTCCATTTCGATGCTTGATACGATCATAAAACTAGTGTGTGAGATCGTTATGAGCCAAGTACGACCGCTGAGTACGACGTATTCAAATGAGTCAGGCGTGAAGTCATGCCGCAGCAAAAGTGCATTATGATCAATCGATCGATCGATCGATAGATCGACCAACCTGATTCTCTCTTGTTCTGGCCAACCCCTGATAAATGTGTCCTGATGTGGTATATTGCGTCACTGTTGTGTTGACAATCGCCCCTAATTCAGATCAACATGACGCCGAAACAGTTTAGGTTCTTAGTGGTGTTTGGAACTCTGTTGCATTTTGTGATCTGCTCGTTGCATTGCATCTCGCCCAGCTGTTCACATTCGGATCCTCATGCACTCAACATTCACCTCGTCCCACACACACATGACGATGTGGGTTGGACAGCCACTGTGAGTGAATACTATTCCGGTCTGGTCAAGTCGATCTTGGACTCGGTCATTACAGAATTGCTTCGCAACAGAGCATATAAATTCACCTATGTGGAAATGGCTTTCTTCACTCAGTGGTGGCGTGAACAGACACCAAAACGACAAGATACAATACGCCAGTTAGTACTCGACGGTCGACTCCAGTTCGATTTAGCTGGTTGGGTCAGTGCGGATGAGGCGACCGTACACTATGCCGATCTGATCAATCAGCTCACCCTGGGACGTCAGTTTATTCGTCAGACATTCGGCTTGTGTGCACGTCCCCGTACAGCGTGGCAGGTGGACACATTCGGACATTCGCGTACACATGCCTACGTGCTCCGAGAGGCCGGTTACGAAGCGTTGTATTTTAGCCGGATGGACTATCTGGAGAAGCACAGTCTGCGCGAAATGAGACAACTGGAATTCTTTTGGATGCCGTCGGTGGAAACAGGTGGCGTCATCGACAAACAGTCCGGTCCAGGTTTATTCACAAGTGTACTTTACAATAATTATTGTTATCCAACAAGTATGTGTTTTTCAAACGACTGTGCCTACTTGTTGGCTGAGGAGACAGATCCCGACGGTCACTTGATCGAACAATTCCACAACTATATCCGGAAACGAATGCGTGCATACCGATTCAATCACATTCTTGTTCCGATGGGTTGTGACTTCTCGTACTACGATGCTCGATACACATTCGATCATATCAACCGGCTGATTAGATTGGTGAATGGAACGCAAATCAACGGGACACGTCTGAATGTGTTTTATTCGACTCCATATTGTTATGCGAGGGCTGTAAATCGACAGTGTCAATCCGGAGTGCTTTTACGTCAACGTCATGGGGATTTTCTACCCTATGAAGATCGTTCGGGGCACTTCTGGACAGGATTTTACACTAGCCGTCCCAGCCTGAAGCAAGTTGCACGACAAGCTGCCACAATTCAAACCATAGGGGAACAAGTGAGCCTGTTTCAGCGGTTGTTTAACAGCATCGGTGTCATCCTCATCCATATCATCAATAAAAATCCATGATTAGGTTAGCTGATGAATTTAGTCGCGCACAGGGTAAATGCGAAATAAACTGACAATCAGTACATCACGATTTCGACCTTCTCAGGGGGGAAGGGGATCTTATCAACAGGGAAAATGCATCGACGAATTGAGAACCGAGTCTGAGTGCTTGTTCGGAGAACACAAATTGTTCATCCGACTACTGGGTGGGTAGTTCACTTTGTACATGCGCACTGTGGTACAGCTCACTTGTGTGTTTGTGTGTGTGTGTGTGTGTGTGTGTGTGTGTGTGTGTGTGTGATCATCTTACAGCATGACCTCTGATTCGTCTTAGTCTCAAGGTCAGTTGGACTCGATCAAGTGGATAGTAAGCTTGTGTTCCACTGTGAGGTCTCCAGTTCTTTTGGTTAAACGATACCTAGGTCCTATGCAATCATTTACCTTCTGATTAAACCGAATCATGCCGTCCTCTGTTTCAGGGTTATACTCGTAACTACTTGTGCATAGTGTTGTGGGATAAGTGACATTGATTAGAACTGACCATCCTTCAGACTTCACCTTTACACAGAATACTCAGTTCTTCCAGTCAACCATACACTGGAAGAATCAATCAATTTATATCTTAAAAGTAGATCAGGAGTTCCTTCACAACTGTGATAATATTCATGCATTGTAATCCTGTTTGACAGTACGGTGAGGACAATTATCAAACGGGTTTGACAACTTCTAAGAGGCCGTATAGTTTATTGCATGAAGTCTAGTAAAGTTTTCTTCCAACTGGAGGGGTGAGTAGAAGAGGACCATTTAAATTTCACTTTACTTCTGAGTGTATCGTTACCTGGAAGAACAGAGTATTGTGCGTGAAAATGAAGTTGGAAGGATGGTCAGTTTAATTCAACATTATCCCATGCGTGGATTCGAATCCAACCGAGGCTAAGGAACTTTTCGTAATCGACATAAAAACTTCAAATCTGCCAAAACAACCATTTGAACAACGGTATTGTCATCAATGGGGGAAAATCGCGACGGTTCAAAGGTTTATTGATAGTCAATAACCTGGAAGTAGGAATCGCGGGACTCAGCAACCAGTTTTCAAGATCGTATGAGACTTTCTGATGTTCTTAACTTAAACCCCTTTTCCTCCCCCTCTCCCCTGTCTATACGTCCTCCACAATGCCTTCAAACAACACAGCTTGATGTGTTTGCTCCAATTGATTCGGCGGCTGATCTGATTAACGCGGTTCGAGAACAGGTGGCCACACTACAACATCACGATGCAATCACGGGGACGGAACAGCAGCATGTGGCTGATGACTATCTAAGCAATCTGTATGACGCCCTCGTCCCAGCCAAAATACACGTGACTAGAATGATGGAAAATCTCACACTGTCAGGGTTGTCCGGTTTAGAATAACATCTTTCACGTTCCTGGTGACTATGTACAACTCATTGGGATGGGAAATTGATGGACAACAATGGATTCGTGTTCCCGTCTATATTCCAACCTCGAATGAAACCATAGAAACAGAAAATATGACTTACGTTAAAATCGAGATTAAACCAGCTTACAGGTGGCCAAATGCACCGAAGATTCTCGGACAACTCAATCCAATCAGTGAACGAACATATACCATACCTGAACGAAACCTGATCAGTAGCCCAGCTAATATGGAATTGATTTTCAGTCCAACTCAGGATAATCTCCGACTGCCTGCGCTGGGGTTTTCCAGCTTCAGTGTGACTCTCACTCGACTCGCCAGACCTGTTCCGGTTCAACATTTTCAAACTTTTGACCACATACACCGCGCAAAAGTACGTATGCACCTGGAGGTGGATCGTGGACAGATCACTGTATCAGCTCTGCATCTGGATGGTGGAAGAAGGCTTAAAATCATGATCGCCATGTTCTACTACTATGGCAGTGTGAATCCTGAAAATGCGTCTGGCGCGTATGTCTTTGTGCCCAGAAAAAACACACAGGCGATTCCACTGATTCCCCAAAGAATTTCGGTAAGTTTAACTGCTATCATTCACATTTTTCTATCCATAATTTTCCAACGACATTTAGAACTACTCGTGAGTAGTATGAAAGTTGAAATATAGGCTAGATTGTTAAGATCGGTTGTTGCCACTTGCTGATGATGTAGGTAGACCGTCAACAATGAAGCTTACATTTTGGGGGTTTATTCTCATAATTCCCAAGGAGACAAAAATTACGTACTGCTCAAAATTTCTAACTTGGCCACCACAGATATTAATTCGTTATCACACTACAATTTCATCGCAACTATAAATAAACTTTAGACAGCTTTCAGGTTGTGAACCTCCAGGAAGGTGACAAATCAATTTTTATGCCTCGAATTTCTATGGAAAGTGCCATACTCAGTATTTTGGCATTGTTCCTTTAATCTGTGTGAGTGACTGAACTTTTTCAGTTAGATGTTTGCATTTGAAACCGTTTAAAAAACACTTCTGTGTTGAATTTACTTCAGAACTAGGAGGGGAATATATACAAGTACTTCAATTAGTGATGACAGAATGAACAAGAAGACAAGGAAATCGAAATCGGTTAGGACAAACGGGGTGTGAAACTCCGCATTAGTGTCGCGTAATTGGCCTCTTTGATTCCTGCCTGCGGATGCTTCGTTTCCCCTATCGTGATATAACCTGGCATGTGCTGTTTGGTCACAGTGTCACTGTTAAAAGGGGCTAAACTTGTTTTCGACTAATAAATAAAACCTATTATTATTATTAATTTATTTCTGTAAGTGTTTATAATATTCCTTTTTTCACTGCCCTTTACACTTGCAGCTACTTCCGTGCCCGTTACCGCCTCTCTCTATCTCTGACGAAATTCCGCACAGATTAATCTGAAGTGTTCATTCTCGAGGGCAATTTAGCATGGTATGCAGTGTGCTTGTCCAACAGGGATTCGGAGTAGATAAAAAATATGCCTTACGGCATTCATATCTCTATCTAGATTATGAGAACTAAAACATGGTGTTGTCAGAACGGATTCGATAACGAGTCATGGCTTCAGACTTAAGGGAAAGAGACACTGTTCTCCCGAAAGACTCGTGGCCCAACGGTTGCGTACCGCACTCTAGTTAAATCAACAACTTGTTTGGTGGTGGCTTTCGTTAATCCGAAGCCCAATTGTAATTACTGAAATCATAGAAGTCAATTTCAAACACTTCACGACATCACTTCATTCTTAGATCCGTCATTATGAGATAAAACAAGAACCGCCAGGTAGTATGAATGAACGACAGTAAGCAATCCTAATTCATTGGAGAAATAACCTTTACCCAGCATTTAGTGATCATTTGGAGAGTTTTGTGACCTGCCAGTCCTGGGCTACATGATGCAATCACGTCTGGCTCGTTCACCAGCACGGGTGTGGCGAGAGCGTTTCGCGACCGGTATCTCACACCGCGAAGCTATATGACAAGCTATCCTCATGCTACAATCGTTCGATTTATTTATTCTTCTTCCTCAGTCACTGCGAAAGCGCGACCTTGAGCGCTAACAAAAGTTAGTTACCTCTATAGCGATCCTCAGTGGTTAGGGTTCAGCAGAAATTAGAGGAAACTGGCAAATTCCGGTGGACAGTCAACTTTGTGGACTCCATGCGAAAGTGACTGCCCCCAGTGATCACAAAGGAGAGAATAAAACATGAACGAGATGAAAGTACAATACCTGTAAACCAAGTCTATGGGTGACTTCGATAAATAAATTCTATTCATGTTTCTTGTTATGACTTTGTCATTTTACAGCTGTGATGCACCAGCAGCCATCGTCAAAATCCAGAAATCGTACATTTTAACGGCATTCGGCTCATGGAGGCAAAGACATAGGTGAATATTATTGCGAATAAGTTGCGTCTGATATGGAGCAATATTATTTTGAATCCCGCGAATGAGGTTGAGCATTGGGAGGAACAAACGCGATGAAAGTCAAGGTGTTGCACTAGTTTGGTCAGTACTTGCAAACGTCGTTCCTATTATGCGTTCGAATTACCTATTTTCTACGAACTACGGAAAACACTAATGTAATATCTTAGAAAAGAGCCCCAACGTACAAATAAAGGACGATCAGTCAATCTTGTCGGTTGCAGGATTCTCATTCATTTTGTCCCACTGAATAATAGATACCTTTATAGTCTATAGAAAAGCTGTTTGCTTCGAGGTAGAATTAAAAATGCTGGTTTACAATTGGGAAAATAAATTTTTTATTAGTTTTGTGCAATACCTAGCACGGCTACATTAATACCGAACCTGCGTTTATACCTTTCGGTTTAACAAATAGTAACTTCATAAATTTGACTCTACAGCCAATCAGTAGGTGGTCAGAGTGGTGCCACTGGTGTGCAAACTTTAGGGAGTGTTGTAAATGCATTTTGTCCAAGAGATTCAGTGTCCGCAGTGAATACATTCACAAGCCTGTGCAACCAATTTGTGTGAAACAAAATTCAGTGGTATAAGAGTGATGAAACGGTTTTGATCATAAGGTGCACTTTGTCGTGCACAGTGAGAAAATGAGAGGTGAACCAAAAGATAGGAAGTATTGGACATCTGTTTTGGCCGTTCTGGTCAGATAACCTGATAAAAAGAACTATGACCAGTACGTATTGCATGAACAGCGTGAACCACAGTTACTTCTGCTGAGACCACTAACAAATTGTTCTCCCCTCGCGTGAATCCCATAGGAACGCGTTGGACCATGTATGAAAGAAATTACAGCACACTACAACTCATGGGCCGAAATGCGAGTGCGACAGTACAGTGACGATCGGATCGAAGTGGAATGGACTGTGGGACCGATCCCGGATGACAATGGGACTGTGAGTCGTGAGGTGATCGTGCGATACATGAGCCGAGGAACCCCGGGATTACAGACGGAGACACGGGGTGAGTGCACAATTGTGGTCAACAGAAGGAAGACGAAATTGAGGCGATTGGTAAAACTTCTGAAGTAACAGTTCAGATGGAAATGTTTAGTTCTCAATTTCCGGATTCATAAGGAAACCTGTTTTTCTTTCTGTTGCACATATTGGTAGAAACTATTTACTTTTCGTTCAAGGAAGTGACTGGAATGCAAAGGGTTTGGAAATTGACATGTTCTTGGTTAGAAGTACGATCGATACGAGCATCTCTTGCCCCGACAATGATACGGAGAAAGTACACGATTGGAAAACAGCAGTCAGAGCGTATTGTATTGATCATGACACGATACGCAAATATTACTGGGTAATTAGGCGTGCGAGAAACGACTTGGTGACGCACCAATCAGATCGTGTCCTTGACACTGATTGGTCGATCGGACGACAACTGTCTGATTCGCTTTAGTCATCCAATCCGGAATCGATTAGCCTTGGGCGTCGTGAGCGCACTTGTGGGGCGACACGTATCCGTTCCCCGACCTAATGGGTTCTGTGCACTCCTTCCTAACAGAAATAACTCAAATGAATTTGCCATGAGTGATGCAATTCGAATCAACTTTTCATGTCCATCAGTAAATGAATTGACTTGGGCTCCGATAGTGTTGTAGAGTAAACAGTAGGCAGAGCTAACCGAAAACCACGAGAACCTTCAGTTTGACAGTCGGAACCAGTTACAAATCATACAAGGCTTCCGCTGGATATGCTGGTTTCGCAATACAGGTTCAACCCATGATGCGATTTAGCATGCCTGGGTGCAAATTGGGGATCGGAATCGAAATCTCAATCAAAACACGAAATCACAGTGGTAATCGTCTACCGAAATTTACCGACACCGAAACGATAGATCAGCGGTCACAGAAGCAGCTGTTAGGTTTTTTGAAAATCTGTGATTTCTTAAATTCAATATCAGTGGTTGAAGCTGTACTGACCAAGCACAGTTCATGTTCCTTTAGGCACATGATTCCTGTTTGCACCAGATGGAGTTTGATCAGTTCTGAACACCGGCTCCTCATTTAGGCTGTGTCACGTCGCATTTTGACCCTCCTCGTCGCGGTGCGTTGAATCAGCATAACTCTCCTTGTCATTTTGTTTATCGAACATACATGCACCGCAGTACTTGGTCGTGATGTACACCTCACTCAGGCAATCACGTTGGACCGTTCGCACACAAGGGATTTGACTGAATGTTCTTTTGGATCCCCGTGGTAACATACACGATTTGGTCAGCCTGTCCGCATACTTCATGCTGCAGAAAACAGTTGATCAAACTGAAATCAGCACATGCACTAACCGAACATTGTACCGACAAGTTCACAGGTGGCTGTGTTCTATCAGGTGGCCCCACACGCGTAGTGCTGAGACCATAACCTGTCCCAATGACGTATAGTTAGTTTCCAGCCCCTCAGCAGTGGAGCACACACAAACAAGGTTCATATCCAAAACAATTTGTTGAAAGAAAAGTAACTCGGCGATTTTTTAACTCTACCATACCATCAGCTTTTACGGGTATGACTTCTTATTTAGCGGAAAATGGTAATGATTGTACAAATGCCAGTAAAAGCAACTAGTTCAACCACAGAAATGCGTTTGAATAATGTTTCCTTTTGACGGAAAACAAATACAGTAGTAGTGCAGTATATTAGCAGTGTTCGGCTGAAGCTTTTTATTGTTTAACCAAACGATGCGGTTGATAACAGTTCTGTAGGAATTACTCAGATAAAGGGGTGATATACAGACCAGTGTAAAACACATTTCCAGAAGGGCTCTATGTTTCTTCGTCCTCCTGTGGCCAGTTCTTTAGTTAACAATCATTTTGAAACGTTGTTTATTTTATTCCATATAAATCTTGATCCAACAAAAGTGGACAACTGTATGTCAGTCTTCATGTAGTGATTAGAAATCGGAATAGTAATTTGTATTCGTGTCGAAATCCGCTCGTATACTCCATCCCAGATCTAGGACACTTCACCTCCTGTATTGTTCTAGATACTGATCTTTAGTACTAACGTCTGTTTGGATCCATTGAGGTCAAATGAGGTACTTGTCTACATCATGTAAATCATACAAATGGGTTATTCTTATAGCTGTTTAATCTAAATCATAAATCAATTATTTAATTGTCAATCAAACAAGGTCGATCTTGGTATGCCCCTTACACACCGGAATCAACTTGAATCAACCAATCAACCAATAAATAAATCATTCCAGGTTGAGGAAATGCAAATCAACTACCCAAGATGGGTTCACGACTATGTCGAAAAAAATCACTTGGGATTAACTTGCAATATCATAAGTAGATTGCATCTATTACGTTTTAGCAAATGACTATCTTTCTATCATTCAATGAACTACCATTTTCGTACTGCAGTTGTGTCATATTTTCGTTATCAAACTCGTTACCGTTCCCTGATGGTGAATGAAAAGTCAGCAACCTTAATCGGTAAAATCGGTTGCAGCATAGTCAGAAATAGCATGACAGCATGTAGTTGGAAGCTGATTGGATATTTCGTTGTGAACGAATGATCCTTCCTTGTATACATTATTTCACCAATTTCACTAGCGCTGATTTCTGCCTGCGTATCGATTTTCTGCACTGATATTAGATACTTCTGTAGCTGATTGTGAATATTATTTCGATTAGTGAAGTGCGAGTACTGCAGACAAGGCTACTTCTCGATAACCATTTGAATAATGTTTTTACCACCGATTCGTGGTTAGTTTCTTGAAATGCAATATGTCTAGAACGACTACAAAATGTTGTCCTTCATTGGTGATGAAGTGGTTTTTCTAAGATTCTTTTTGCCTAGATATTTTATCTGCTGAGTTTTCACAAGTAGTTTTTTCCTGTTCAAAGTGAAAGAGTTGAGCGAAGCGGATTTGAAAAGTGTCTCACTCTCTATAGCCCAGGGGGACAATATTATTATTCATTGTAGTGATCGTTCCAACATTTCTGCGAGAGATGTGCCCTCTAACCTCAGCGAATTCTGTCATGACCATATTCTGAATTATTTCCAAACTTTTGTACATCCCCTCATCACCCCACCCACCGCGACCTCCTCAACCTTGAAAAATATGGCTAATGTCACAGGTGAATTCTTCACTGACTCATCCGGACGAGATTTGATTCAACGTGTGCGAAATCAACGGCCTGATTGGAATCTACCGGAACTGTTTAACGATACACATACAATTGCCGGGAACTACTATCCCGTGGTGAATCGCATTTTGATTCGAGAACCAAAAACACGACCAGCCTCGTTAACTATGGGCGTATACACGGATCGACCGCAAGGTGGTTCCAGTCTTCATACAGGTGAACTGGAACTGATGGTGCACCGACGTCTGGTGATGGATGACAATTTGGGAGTTGCAGAACCGCTGCTTGAAAATGGTGTGGATGGTAAAGGCAAGTTGTGCTTGTTTTAGCCTGTTCGATTCCTCCTTATCGATTTTATGGGTTTCGCTTGAGTGCTCTGGATACACTGTGAGTGGCCATTTCATGTGTACCAAAAAATATCCTCGGGATATTCCGTTCTAATACGTCTCTAGTGGATTTGAGTTGCTGTTACTGCTTTTACCGGGTTGAAACACGAATGAGCATAATGTTGTACCAATGCAGAACGTTTCAAGTTAGTTTGTGTAATTTTTTTGACTTACTTCTTGTATTCCAGTAGCCAGGTTTTTGGTTTCCACGAGTTCTAAAAGAGAGATAATAATAAGGTGAATTTTTATCTTTTATTAAGCACAGGAGACGTGAATTAAAAAGCAGTGAAGTTCTGAATATACCTTTCAAACTTGATGGGTCAGTTTCTGAATGCTTTTGAACCAATCTCAATCACTAGAGTTTAATGAAGAGCTGTTGGTCCCTACTTACTAGCATTAGAAGAACAGTTTGTACTGTAAATTTAAATATAAATTTAACTTAACTAATCTTTCACATTACCAAGTAAGTATTCCTCTGTCCTACCTTCAGGGTCCCAGATTCGAACCTCATTTCAGTTGACAGATGAGACCAAAAGGTTTGATAAAGCTATAAAGTACCTATCAATATTTCAGTTTATTTCCAAAGTATATATACATATGTTTATTATATAATCGCACCAACTCCGTCAGTTCCTGCTAGTTTCTTGTGGGATATGCTATTTTTACGAAACTTACGGAAATTTCTACTATTATTGATAAGAAAGCTACTAATGAGTAGTTAAAACGTTTTCAACGTTTTCAAATTCCACAACAATGTAGCCTATGGTTAACCTGTCATTTTTTCATCATTTGCGGTTGGCACTATTTCAAAAGCATTAATCCTGTTCGGTCGTACCGACAGACCGGAAGGCCTACCAGGTCTCTTTTTTGCGACTATGGGCATATACTGTCTATCATCGGCAGCGCAATAGGAATAAATAAAACAAAGTTGCACGGATATTCGGCGCGGGATTGCTATTCGCTTCTACAAATCGTAGCATACGTCCATTCGAAGTCGTGTAATTAACCTCAAACGATGCACCACGATATGCTTTGTGTCCTTTAAGTACTAGATATCAAATAATGTGAGAAGCAGGTGTTCTGCGTTAACCGCTTGACGGATCGGTTGTTCATTTAGGTCTTAATATTCTCAGTTGACTTGCTGGTATGTTTTTAGCAACCTGATTTAACTTACAAGCGAGTGAGTTGTATTGTATTGTATTGTATTTGATAGGGCATAGCCAAAACGTATCCAAAAGAGTTCAGTAACTCTATTAATTTACGGTATTCTACGATAGCGAATTAATAAACAATCAAATAAGCAAATAACACGTACAAATATCACACATGACATAAGAACAACCTTCAGAGATGTTAAAAGGGAGGAATGCGTTTTTACTGCGCTGCACAGTTTGTTGATCATACGAATAGTACGCACGCACCACGATACACCTTCCAAGTAAAAAGTCAAGATAAACTGTTTCCGACTTATCCTGTGATTTCAAGTAGAATGAATTGGATTGGCTGAATGCACCAAAGCAACCAAACTGGTCATAAAGTTGTCGAGTGGATCTCGAATAATGCGCCAATAAACGCTTGTTACATGTGATATTAACTTACCTGATTTTCTGAATACAATTAAGTGCATCCGCAGTAAATCCTGGTTCTGCCTTATTCTGCACGCTGCTGATACCCATGAATCACCTTTGTTTGACAAACTGTAAATTGATACAGTTTTGCAGTAATTTTATTAATCTTTTAGAGTTTCATTACCTGGTTGGCATACTCATCCGATTTGCTGACTTCAAAAGACCCATCACAGGTGTCATGCAATTCTCTGCCCCATACGCAGCAGTTCGTACAAGAACGATGGTTTTATTTGCTAGCACAACATTGTTTTCGCCATCGAGTGAATCCGAAATGTTGAGGCTAAGTCCCATTGATAGAATCAGTCGTTTGTAAAGTTCGTACGTAAAATTCATGATGGATTATTTTTGTTTTTCAAAGAATTCAGCTTGTTGAAAATCGTTTTTAAGGCATTCCGCGGTGCCTAACTTTTTGTATATCCAATAGAAAGAATCAAAAACTAAAAAGAAACACAAGATCATGCATTGCAGAAAGTAATTTCGTGTCAATGAATCCTAAGTTCTTCGTTTAAAAAAATCGGACTTCTTGACGGATAAAAATTTGTCAATTGTGATTGTAAACTGTATTCAATAAAACATTTCGATCCCGGAGTTAGCTGAAACAGCCTAGTTAGAAAACAAGCACTGGGAGAGGCATTGCTTTCGTATCCTTGCACCGGTTGCGGACATATGACAGTGATCAAGATGGAAAAATGAAGGAAACTAAGAGATCCAATTAGGTTTTGTGGTGTGTGTGCGCGCGTGTGTGTAGTTGGTTGCAGCCAGTCTAGATCTAGGGTGAAGTTTACATGCGTTTGTAAACGAAGGTTGTTTGTCGTGCGCAATCGACAATGGTTCAAGTCTGCATAGTCGAAGTTTGTCGCGACGACTTCTAACTGTGCACACACCCTCCCAAACACCATAAAACCAAACTCAATTTCTCAATTTACTTGATTTGTCTATACTGTTTGATATTATTTTTCCGCCACCGATATGATTATACGAAAAATATTCTTTTTGTAGTGTTTGTCTTCTGTTTTGTCTATTTAAAATTGAATTCTCATGCCCCGATAGAAGGACTTCAGTGTTGGTATGTACCGATATCCTTGGATAGTAGATTGTAACTCGTCCACGACGTTCAGTTTCCATATACTCAATCCGTTCAATAGTAGAAACAAGCGAATCGGTTAACTAGGGATGGCCGTCCATTGAGCCAAATTCATCAAAAGAACTTGATCATAAGTCTAACATACCACCTTCGCAATCAACTTGATCTAACAGTACTGTCTATCTTCAACATGTCGGCTTTCATCTTACCACACAAGTAGATGATAATATGCTTCTAGTTCAATGGAGTACGACTTAAATCCTGTCGTTTGAAATCAGCCACACAGATTAGCGTTTCAAATCCGCATTATAATACAAGAATCGTCCAAAAACTGAAAAGTATATAGTCAATTTACCAACTGTTTTCAGGTCTTTTTTTGACAAATCAATTAAATGGACTGGGAAGATCATTGATATATATATATATATATATATATATATATATATACATCGAATGATAGCATTGATTCTTCATTGGACTGGTTCTGAAAGAGCTGTCTAGCCAATGGTCACCCGTTGTTGCAAACAAGGTTATTGTGACGAATATATAAATATATAAAGCCTTATTGAATCATTCCGCAATAGAAAAAGGTAGTCTTTTGTCCTTATGATGTATGCCGTAGAATTGAGCAGGTGTCCTGTGATATTTGGGACGGAGAAAATCAGTTTGACCCCTCTCTATTTCGGTTCATGGCAACTGCTTTATGATATAAAATTATTCCTTTATTTTTACAGCTGTAATGTCGAATGTTTTGATTTATGACGTTGTAGGTATGTTTAGCGGTTAATATTTACAAAAAATCGTCCATTAAATTGAAGGTATTGCTTGTATTGAGCACACAGAGGAGCAGGAACACTTCCGAAACAAAGATTGTTTGAATATGGCTGTTTGGTGCATGTTCAGGATTTCGAACGGATGAAAGTGTCAATCGGTGCTCTAAATGCAAGAGGCAAAAAGCACTACATTCTTGCATATTGTTTTTCTAAGTCCAAATTACCACTTCATGGAATTATTTTGGTGTATTTCGTAGTGATGCCTTAAAGGTAAGTATTTTTAAGGAGTGTGCTATTTAATGGCACATGTATTGTTGTAGTGTTTGTTCCTCTATTGCAAAATAGATTTTGTCTGTTAGATACAATTCACCAGTTGATTTATTGTTATTGTTAGTATAATAAGTGTTATTGCTATTACATAGATTTTCTTCCGGAATCTAACCATTGTTTACATTGCACTACTCATAAGTAGCTACTTCACGCGGATCACCTCTACCCGAAATATTGTCATAGGGGTCATTTTGAGTGATGGGTACTGAAAGAACGGACATTGTTTGAGTATTTCTAGTGTCAAGTTTTCGAGACAAGTTTTATGGAAGCCTTCCTAGGATAAACGGATCAAGGGATTTGGATAACTGGTGTTTACTAACAACGATTGCAACGAAACTGGCGATCATTTCTGTACCATTTCTCGTGAAGAAGGGCTCCGTATCGCATGAAATTGAATTAAATGACCGGATAATTGAAAATTAAGTAGATATATTTTGAAATTTATTGTAACTTAGTATTTTTGTCTCGCGCTCAAATCATTGCTCGTTAAAACAATTGTGGGATTTTGGTTTGCGTTATTGGATGGTATTAACGATGACTATTTGGCCAAGCGTTGAAAATAATTTCTCCTGTTTTTAATCAGGAATATTTTCTCCTCGTCTGGTGCACTTTCGATGAAGCTCACCCTTCTTTTCAAAGTGCACCACTCCCACTCAAAATCCTCAGATGTGTTGAGATTGAGAAAGTTAACCAGCATGATACATGACCCATGTATCCAGAGCCATTTTGCATTTCCTACAATTCGTCTGTCTTCGCATGGTTTGTGTGAAGCACTTAAGGTTGCGTTTCATTTGTACCTGCATTTATAAATTAAAGTAAATTAAAATTGTGACCATAGTCACACGACAAACGATAGAAATCTGGTGGTTGATACTCCCAACCTATCGCCATCTGAGCCCTTGTTTGATCACTCGGTTGTTCTTATCTTCTACTCCTGTGTGTATAGGGCGACGTTCGGCCAATTTGCATGCTTTAAAATCTTCACATACATGATTTATTAGTTAATAAATCAATTAGGAAACAACACGCCTGTTCCTTGGTTGAAAAGCAATGGTTTAACATCAACCGGTCTCATGAAATCACATTTGAATCCTTAGTTTGTTTATCTGATAATATAAAATATAAAACACTTTGTTTCACACCATCTTCCCCTCCTGCCCCAATCAAAGGTCTCATAGTCCGTGGTTTACACTGGTTACGTGTTGACGAGACCGCGGAGTTTGAACGCATGGATCGATTGAATGCTGAACTGGTCACACGATCTCCTATTCCATTATTTTCTCTCCCAACTAGCTCTGAGTTAAAGTCTCCCATTGATTTGTATTGGTCCGGTCTGCTTCGGGTGCTACCAGACAATATTCATTTACTCAGCCTTTCACGATGGCCATTGTGGCCTGTGGGTAAGACGGCGGGGGAAAAAATCCTGATCCGATTGGAAAACATATCTCCACACTCTGTCACAAATCCACCGATGGTACAACAGATTTCTGCCGAGCAGCTGTTCAAACGGATTCGAATAACGAATGCCGTGGAAATGCTTATCACTGCAGACGAGACAAAACAAAAGGCTCAGATGGACAGATTGGTTTGGCCCGGGGATCTTGAAATGGTGAAATATAACACTTCAAATGTGGTAAAAATGAGTAATGGAACAGTGGTGTTTTCACTTATCCCCGAAACCATTCATACGTTTTTATTGAATTACGTAAAATTATAGTGTATTGCATTGCCTCGGTGTTGTTATTCCGCCGAAGTCCGTTCTGAGGTAACTAAAGAGTTTGTATGAACTCATATGCAAATGTTTTAACGGTTGTTTGAGTATCAAATACACGTTTGTATTGAAAGATTCCTGCATAAAACGAAAGTTCAGTTTTATTACCATACTGAAGGAGACTTTTATGAAATGTTAACATTAGGTGCACGTTGTTATTCGCCCTTGGGCTAGTAACTCGACTACGTATCGAACTGCGCGCAGTTATAGTCAAAACGAACACTACAAATCGGAATGAATTACGAAGGCATTGCTCAAAAACGAATTCGTGTTTTAATAAGCGGAAAGTGGGAATGTACAAGGATATTGTGTTCAATAAAAGAAACGAGCTCTCAGTTCATGTAAAATGACCACATGCGATGCAGCTTGAATGAAGCTCCAGTTTTCTGCAATGCCGGTGGTCTTTTTTGAGCAAACCGTTCGGATTTTCTTGTTACTTTGGGAGGCTTTGTAGCACCTTTATTGGAATTTACTTCATCTGAAATAGGCTCAGAAATAACGGGGTTGTTAGGTACACAATTAGCAACGGTATTAAGCAAATCGCAAAGTATGCGGTCCACGATATAAAGTGACATCGTATAAATGCAATATTCGATATACCGTCTGCCAGGTTTTGTCTTTTAAAATGCCGGTGGCGGTCGTTACCCCAACGGCACACGACTTATACAGACTCCTGGTGCAGAAGATTAGTTCAAAGAATTCGAATTGTGAACAGCTTTGCTAGACTATACCCGTAGTTGAATGTACTGCGGTAAGATATTACATCAGGAGATCATCGAAGCATCTGTCCAGTTCATCAAATCTACTGAGATTCACAGAAGCAGTGACACTGTTCAGTGTCTGCACGTAGTTCGCAGCTGCATGATTGCATTTTGGATGTCGAGGTGGAGTTTAAACATAACAACAACTCACGGAGTTTAGCCAATCCGTAGCTTTCTTATCAGTGAAATGAATTTCGCTGTCAGTCACGATAGCTTCCAGGATATCTTCTCTACTGAACGTTTTCCTGAGGGCTCGCATGGTAAATTCTGCACTGGATGATGTAGTAGAGTAGACTTCCGTTCAACGGGAATTAGAATCGACAACCTGCAATGCGTAATTTTTGTTGAAGAATGAACCCTAGTAATCCACATGTATTTGTTGCAATGACTGGGAGCTACTGGTTGCCAAGTCCATTTTGAAGATCGTGTGTAACCTTTATGTACTTAATCAGCACAGGAGTGGTCACCGCAATCCAGGTCATGATTCAATTCAGGTCACCAATTTGTAAGACGAGCACGACAATTCAGCTTTTAACTGCAAGACAAATGGAAAGTAAGTCATTCAGATCAGTAATATGTAATGTAAAAGGTACAGTAATATGATCAACATAACACAAGAAGCCCTTGTATATTACAGAATTTTCCTCACGACGTTTATAGAATTCCGGGAATCGATGCTTGACATCACTTCGCCAACCTCGACAGAATCCAGATATGATACGGTGATAATAATTCTTCTTACGAAATATATGAGATTGCCTTAACGGAAGCGGTTAAGCAAGTAGATAAAAATTCGTAAATGTCTCCGCCGATTGGCATATAATCTGCATGTGGAATGAACTGTTCCCTTCTATGATGGATGCCATGGAAATAGACAGTCAACGTAACACTCCATCGTCGTACCATGACTGCAGATGACTTTACCAGGGAATATTGTGAGTTATAAATGAACTGCAAGGCTTCATGCACAGTAACAATGGTGAAGTGAGTGCCAAACAGATAATTATGCAGACGCGTAACAGCCCAGAATACTGCTTGAGCCTCACGTTGAGTTTGTGAATACTCACTTTCAAAACCCGTGAGTCTGCGCGGCACGCACAACACCGGCTGACCGTTATGCTCCAACACATCATGCGTGATGGCGGTGGAATGTAATCTTCTGTGAAAGGCACACAAAGCAAGTTCAAAGCAAGTTCATGGACAAAAGTTCATAAAAATGTTTGATGGGATTGCAAATCAAACAATGGGCCGGTTTCAGTTGAAAAATTTGGAGTAAACTTGGAATAGTATTTAAAAGAACCAATTAAAGAATAACGTTCATCAAATAAGTTGGGAGATAAGCTATTGACTAATGGCGATCCAGGCCTTGAATTCTTGAAGTAATACTTGTGTTCATTGCCTGCACCCAATAAATCCGGTTCTGTATTTGTCTTCTTTTTTACTATTTCTACTATTTGGTGCACTAGTTGAAAGGGAGGTTGATAGAAAGGAGACGCGAGCTCCACTGTAGTGCCCCTGGGTGTTGGTTACATGCATTGAGAGAAAGAGGGGGAGAAAGAGAGAAATGGAAATAGCGGGAGGAGTAAGAGGGTGAAGAAGTAAAGTAAGAGAATAGAGCGTGCTCCCCGGTGGATAGAAGCCATTTAGTTCTTCGGTAGGATGAACCTTGAATGCAAGTCTAGAGGAGTACTGAGGACCCTTTTAGAGCATGAATCCACAATATCCAGTAGACGTTTGTTCCATTCTGAGATAACCCTGTACGAGAAGTTGGAGTAGATAAAGTTTCCAAGTCAAATAAGGTCACAATGTACAATGTGGCAGCCATATTCTAGAAGCGAACGTATGTATGTTCCGTAGAGGAATGAGAATGCCTCCCTGTTTATACGCGGAAAGGGACGGTGAACAAGGTCAAGGCCCTGCCAACACAGCGTCGCACTTTGTGCTTCCAGAGTGCTCCAGAATTCGCACTTTGTGCTCCCAGTTCGCTCCATAATTCGCACTTTCTAAATAAAACCTATGTGAGCCAAACTGTACGTTTATAGCATTCAAAATTACATACAAACGCTTTTCACTCAATATTTGTCATATTTATCAACATGGTATTCCTCCAAAGTAACTGTTTGTTTGAATTGATTCCAAGTGGTATCAATGGAGGGCCGCCATTATCACTTTGTTGTTCGCTTGTGTGCTTACTGCTATCTTTGTCTGCTGTTTATTTCTAATCTATCTCCATCTTGTTACTCGTCGTATTTGTTCATAAATATTTTCAGTATGCGAAAATCTCGTCATACATTGATTAAACTACCTCGTGGAACAAGTAGACGGACCATTTATCGGCAGTTGCAGAGTTATTTCTCAACGTAGTGTCCACAACTGCAACCTGAGCTGCCAATGCAGGAATCAGACGAAGAAAACCAACAATCCCATGGTTATTAAGTTAAATTGGACACAAACCTATTTGCTTTTAGGTCCGCAACCCACATTAGAACTACGTGATGGCAATTGTTGTTACATAGTTGGCCCTGAAAACCCAACCAGCCCACAAACCAGCCAACCCTGCACCGGTATGTATTGAGATATAATGTGATTATAATAACATCTCTTATAAGAGATGCCGATAGGAAATATTTTTAATCGCATATCTCCAGGGAAATGTGCTACGACGTCATTATTTGCCTTGAGGGATTCCTCAAACAGTAAGTTGTACCATGTAGGTCAAGATGTGTTTAATGTTGTTGCTAGATCAACAGTGTTCTGAGAGCACGCAAACTACTTTACGCTCTATATGTTCAGCCCATTTACCATGTACGTGACGTAATGTGTACAAAAGCAGTAAATTGTCTGGCCTTGTATAATTCCAGATTTTTACGGCACTGCTGAAAAATGCCCCAGTTTGATTGATATATACCGGACTTTTTCGATTGAGGCTAAACTGTCTGCCAGTGCCATCAACATAGTTTTCAAACATCTTCGAAGATTATTCCCGGAGTTACCGAGTGACAGTCGATCTGTCCTACGTACACCTCGGATATCGAAAAGAAGATGCACGGAATCCGGGAAATGTGTTCACTTTGGCTTGTGTGATGCCATTAAAAATGCAATCGGCCCAAGGCCTTCAACTTTGAATGTGCCATTGGGTTTGCAAATAGCCATCTATGGAGTAACTCTTTTCCGCAGTTCACGTATGCAGCTGTGGCCCGTGCTCGGTCATCTAGTAAAACCGCAAACGGAAGTTTTCATTATCGGAGTCTACTGTGGTCTATGTAAACCAAAAAATGCAACGCAATATTTGGCATCGTTGATCGATGAATTGCGCCGGTGTGAAACTGATGGGTTCCGATTTTCATCTGCAGGTCCCGCTGTTGCCTTCGAGTTGGACAGTGTAATATGTGATGCTCCGGTGCGTGCATTTGTAAAGCAAATCAAACGCCATAGTGGATACAATTCCTGTGAGCGTTGCGTGGCATCTGGTGTTCATGACGGGAACAAGTTGGTGTTTCCTCACACTACCTATCGCTCCCGGACTGACACTAATTTTCGTTCTCGACGTGATGAGAAACACCATGTTGGGGAATCACCTTTTGAGACGTTAAAGGTGGATATGATCAATGTTTTCCCTTTGGAATACATGCATCTGGCATGTTTGAGCTTCTGCAAAAGGTTGATCAACCTTTGCCGTACCGGTCCCATTGCAAACAATACCAGATTGCTTCTACGACCTTACGTCAGATCTCACAGCGACTGGAAGATGTGAGAAGCAGTCTGCCGTGTGGTTCTCCGAGGAATTGCCAGAGTTTTGATGACTTCGAACGGCGGAAAGCCTCAGAAGTCCGCCAATTCTTGCCTATACATTGGACCGGACTGCTCTCGAGAGAAGTGAGTTCAGTGGCTTAACGATTATGGGAGGAAAAAAGAGGTTATTATTTAACCAGAAACCGAGAATTTTGTGTTGATCCACCTTCTGGGTTCGGTGAAACCATTCACCCAGAGGCGGGGATTTACGAGAAGGACTCAAATTTGGACATCATAATTGGAGCGTCACCAAAGTATATACTAACTCACTTTCCATCGCTGTTGTGACACAGTGAGGCATCTGGGGCTCACTGCAAGAAACTGGGTTCAATTTAGCTTCGTTTACAAGCCCCATAACCTGAACTGACGTGACCTGATTGGCAATTCCCAGTTGACTGACTAGCTTTTGCCTTGGTCAATTGTCCACTGCACTTTGGATGCGTCTGTTCCCCAAGTAGTGACTTCATTTGCTTACATAACAATTTTCACACGAATAATCCTAGGACGATCGTTGATATAGATCAGGAAGAATGTGAAAAAAGTACGGAGCCCTGGTTCACTCTCACGGAGACTGGGTAAGATGGAGAAGCGGATGTACATATTCGAATCGCAAAGGAGCGGTTTGACAGAAAACTAGTAGGTAGGGAAGACAGTCAGCCAGTAATGCCATAACTCTCTAGTTTATACAGGAGAGGAATGTACAACACTCTGTTGAAGGCGGTGGCAAAGTATATAAAGATCGCGTGCAAAATATAACCTTCGTCATAGACACGGATTAAACTATTCAGAACAGTCAGTATACTGGAGATGCATGACCTGTATGGGAAGATACCATGTTGGGATGTATCTGCCAAACAGTTCTCAGTTAGATGTCTCAGAATAGGTCGATTTAGGAGGCACTCGAAGATCTAACTGGAAATGCTGGTGAGGCTGATTAGCCTATGGCTAGTAGACAGGTGTCGATTACCTTTTTATAAATAGGGATTACAGTTACGCTTTTCCATTGTTGTGGTAAGGCACCTGTGTTCAAGCACTTTTAGAAGAGTTGTGGCAGCCAACACGTCCACGGACTCTTTCGGTATATGTGGGTGGGTCTCGTCGAGACCCATTAGCTGAGTGAGTTCAAACGTTTGAGTTAGTCTTCCACTTCTGCAACTGACTGGTTTATTCGCGCCCTAACTCGAAGACCGTTCTGGGGGTTTCGCTTACGTTCTCTGATCTTCGCTTTGTATAACTTGCGAATGCGGAAAGAGCTATGGCTATCTTCAGTCAGACCCTCAAACGTGTATCTATCAAAGGACCGTGAACTTTCTTCTAATAAAAGACGGATACTTCGCGGTAAGTGATGTTTATTCGCCGGGGGGGGGACTTATGGACGCGAGTCAATAGCAGATAGTCCGCTGTGTGAATAAATTGCACTGTTTCAGTGTTCAGGTGGTCGATTTCACTCATCTGATGGATTTGCGCGAGATGACCTTGGAGGAAATGCCTTAGGTTGTTGACAGAGCTGCATTGCGAAAACAGAGTCAGTGGCCAGACAGATGTTCACCCGGTATGTAATGGCAGTCCGAACAACATTCAACACGAATTGCAATGTCTCCACCTCGACTGACCAAGTCTACAGGACATAGAAACATTAAGTCGAACGACAGTTGGAATTTCGTTTGTACTGTAGGCATACATCAGTACACATTTGCGACTTACGAAACCGTCGTAGGTCCCAGTTACAGAACGAAAAATAAAAGAGCAAATCACGAAGCAAGGCAAAAAGGATACCGAGCGGGTAATGAGGAGGTCGGTTAAAACAACGGTTAAACCGTTGAGTTCACAAAGAGAAAGCAGAGATAAGCGAAGGAAGATAACGGAATAATAATAATAATAATAATAATAATAATAATAATAATGATATATTTCTCGGGTAACAACGAGAGACATGCATGTGATGCATGATCAGGGTAGGCAAGGCAAAATAACAATGAAGTCATATATTATACAATAAGATGTGGAAACATTGTCATAATGTTTGTGAAAGCAAAGAATTATTGAGTGTTAATTTTTTATTGCTCCAGTTCACACTGCAGCGCAACATAATTTCCATTTTGAGGTCACCAATAAACTCGGAGTGATACATTTCTGTAGAATGACAACATAAGTGCAGATATGCATAAGGACGAATAAAGTTTAAAAATATGGAAAGTGAGAAGTCTTATACAGTAAATTCAAGAAGAAAAACGCTAACAGTCAGGTGGAAGAGATTGTATACCAAGTGATACAACCAAGTCCCATGAGGGTAGAAAATATCAACGGTCAGCTTGGGAATAAATACTCACTCGTTTATATATATAGAAATATTGCATACTGTAGGTAAATTAAACGTTTTATTAGCTACTTTTCAGGCTTATCAAAGTAACGAATATGGAAAAAGTATTTCATCGATGGCACTAGGCATGACAAATGCCTCAGAATCAAGAGACCAAATGCTTCATTGCGGAAATCTGGTTTAGAGAGAGTTATTTGAGAGACATGCTGGGTTCTACTATCGAAAACCATCAAATAAAGAAGACGGACAATCTATAAGGTTTACACTCAATATGGCTGGGATTCTAGCCATAATCATTTCAGAACTAGGGGTATGAAAGAAGAAAATTAGGACAGAAATAAACTTTGAACCCGATCGGTAGTGCGTACAAAAGCTGTTTAAAACCGGATATCATCAAAATTACTAGTAATTCCAACAACCGGAAAGGAAAATGAGAGAAAAACGTAAAAAAACTGAAAGAAAAAAATAAAAACCAACCGAATAGGTATTTTTCCGGGAGACTCTCTCAACTAATCGCTCACAGTCGAAGACCGGCGTCGGGTAAGGCTAAAGGGTACTGCCTCTCTAACAGCAAACCGGACTCATATATCCGGAAACACACTTGAACAGTGGCCAACACTAAATTCCTGTTTGGAGCGGCCGAGTTAGGAAGCTCGAAGGCAACCTGTAGACCCATGCTAAGTAAGCCTTGGTTGTAGTTCTGTCATGGTGAGGTCGGAGACTCTCCGTCTCCTCTATCTGCTTAGTGCACTGCTTTTCTTTTCTCTTTTACTCCGACTGCTGGAAGAATGCTGGCATGGTTTTTGTGCATTGAGGGCAGTTTTTGTGACAGTAGGCGTCACGGGAACACTGCTATAAGTGTGGCAACATCAGCTTTATGATCTAGGTTCATGATATGTTGCCTGTTGCTTACGTACAACTGCAGGGAAATACATTTCACAAGTGGCACATTTAACCATCTATCGTTTCAGACACAACTGGATACAGAGTAAGAGACAACTACTCCGATGGCCTCCGTCTGTCACCGAGCAGTAAACTTACCACCCTAATTCGGGCTACTCCAAATATTCGGTTCCCAAGCCTGTCAATCCCCCGTGAAGTGATCTTATCGGAACTGGGGCACGGTTCGAAATTTGGAGTGAAACGTTTCGCTACAGAAATTGACTGACAATAAGAGAAGGGAAAGTTCGTGATCTCAATTGTCTGTCGAGAATCAGTGAGAGGTATAATTTATCACGAGTCTTCCGCGCACTGAGATTGGGGATTCTGCATCAGAGAGCCACAACCAAGCGGTGCTCGGGTGACAGGACCAACGTGACTAAGTTCCGTCCAGGTGAGCGACTAAACTACAACATTTTCTGCCGACAGTACTATTTAGATTTACTTATTCGTAGTACTTATCGCTTGCTTCTGAGGTTTTCATTCTAACCTAACCCTTTTACGGGACAGCTTGAAGCGTACCCTAATGAGAGCAGCGGTTGCTCCTTCTAAGGTAGTGGCTACCAGGACCAAACGTGCCGTGACACCATACTCGTGTCACGCCAGTCCTCTGGTAATATCTCAAAGACTGCTGAAATAGGATGGTTACCGGATACGCCAGAAGCCCTGTAAGTGGCTAAACTATAGGAGTGTGTATTCTATCCGGTCCTGCAGCCTTATGTGGATTAAGTGACGCAAGCTCTCTGGTTACACCACTCTCGTTGATTATTATTTCACTAATCCTTGTTATATTTAATAATATTAATAATAATAATAATAATAATAAATTTTTCGATTTACAACGCGAGACATGTGGTTAATGCACCATCAAAGCGAGCTTGAAAAAATTGTAATGCCACCATAAAAACAGTCAAATGTCGGCTCACGTTACCATCCGGCACTCCCTGGCGATTTTAGTTAAAATGAAATTACTACTCATAAGTAATAACACATTTTCGCAGCAAATAACGGGACAGAAATAATGAAAAAAATAATCTGATAAGAATTGAATGATATTCAACAAGGATAAAACTGCGCAACATGTTGCAAATAAATGTCAACATCATTGCTAAACGTGTGTAAGAAAAATTAAACTACATTCGGAACTGTACTTCATCTAGATGTTCCCACATCACATCTCTGACCGACCCCGTCGCGTTTTTCAAGCGCCTTTTGATGTAGCTCCAAAAGGACTCAACGTTATTAGTATGAACACCAGTTATGGGGTTGACGAAACCGTCTGTGTGGTTGAAACACATATGTATGTAACCTAGGGAACAAAGTGATCGGTAGGCTGCCCCCTGATCGGTGTAAATTGTTGTTCCAGGTTGCACCCAACGTTGTATATTGGGCAAGAAAACCTCCGCAGAGCGGTTATCTACACTTTAGAAATATCCTTTTCTCAGATTTCGGTCGTGCATCCCTAACATTCACACTGTGGGTACCGGACGGCCTTGACCATATTTACTTTTGACAGCAACACATTCCTCCACTTCCACAATGCTACCGACACCACCCAGTTGGGTTGATAGTGAACACATTACTGAAGAACACACATCTCCGCAGTAAGTG